TCTTTCCCTTCAGCTCGACATGGCAAGAGTGAAGATATGTAGGGAGAAAATAGACAACTGAAAGATCAAAATACAAAGCATAATGAACTGGGGACATTATTGAGATGTCCAGAAAACTGTTATGGTTTTCTTGACTGCCAAAGGAAATTCAGACAGTGCAACGCTGAGCTATGACCTACCTCCTCTTTAGGCATGATGGCGCCCACTGGATTTTACAGCAATCACCTGCGTGACCACATTGTCCTAAATGTGATGTGTGTAGAGCAAGCTACCTAAGGAGTAAGACTTGAGATGGCAGCCTGCTGCTGGTGAAGAAGTTGATTAAGAAACTAGCAGAAAACACTAAAAATGCTGAACAGAGGCAGCAGGATGCTTGATCTCAGGCTTCATGTAGCATCTATCCTACACTGTGGCTTCATAATTGCGAATATTTTTTCAGATGGATCTTCTAAAAAAGGCTCCACCCCTCAAGAATTTGAGTGCTCACCTGATCAAAGAGAGATATGCATTTCAATTACTCCTGTTTCATAAAAAGCAGGAACATGAAACTCCCTCACTCAGCTCCTAGACAGAGTTAGGCAGGCAGGAGGACAGCCCTAAGCTCTGCTGTTGGGATCATTGGGTCAGCGCGGACTATCAAGGGTGCTTAGACAAACAGCTTAGATGCAGACACCCCAGTTAACTAAGATGAATTGCAACCTGTATGTTTAAGTGGCAGCTAGCTGCCTGAGACCTGCCTCTGTTCTATAGTGGATCTTCTCAAAACTCCTTAAATTTCTAACTTCTAGACAATTTTTCCATCCTCTGCATCACTGTCATGCTCCATGAGCTTTATGATTTTTCCTTTTCTTTTGAAAGCTGTTGTCACCAGAATCTAACACTGTATATGAATAACAGTCTCACTATAACCATACATGAACACAGTGACATCTTCCTGCTCCTACTCAGTATTTCCTGTAGCCAAGGGTTGTGTTAATCTCCTCAGACACAAAATGACTGTGAGTTAGTGCTGTCTTGGTTACTTACAGAAAGCATTTGCCTCTGTCTAGAATACAGTGACCTCTGCTGTCCTCTTCCAAGACATGTACTTTACTGCTGTACTAGCAGGTGTGATAGTCACATAAGTCCAGTTTACCAAGCAATCCTTCTAGATCAGTGATAAATGTGTTGAAGCAGACTGAACCAAGAGGCCTGAGAGTCTGCACTCACAAACACCTATTTAATCATAATTCCCCATAACAAGTAATTTTTGAGACTTATTATACTGATCAACCTTTAACATTATACATGTGTATATTCCCTCTATATGAAATGATTGCCTATTGCAACTTAATTTTAGCATAATGCTTTTTATAAAAAACTTTAAGTCATATATCAAGCTTATATAGGCAATAAGCTTGGTAAATTAGAAGTCACTCCTGACCTCTCACATTGTGCACAAACAAGCTCAAGTTTACAGTTTTGCAAAAGGTCAGAATAAATATATTATGAAGCTATAGATATTAATTTTATTTGAAAAATATTTATAATACATTTATAGTGCTTCAACTTTCATTCCAGATGAAAAGTGGTAAGTGAAAATGGAGCCCCATGCTATGAAGTAATTTCATTTGTCTCTTAACCAGTTTCTGTAGGATCAGTACTACTACTGCTCTAGGGCTGGCTCTACTCGAATGAGGTCTGTGTGGCAAAGAATACTGGCACATAACTAGCACCATTTAGCCCTTAGAGCTAAAAAAAGACCTGACTAATAACCGGCTTTCACAGTGCTGATGTCCTTACATGCTACACATGATATTTGGAGAGTCAGGAATCTGGTTTGGTGTATTTGGAAACATTGTGCAATATTGAAATTTAGTGCACTAGAGATGCCCAAAAAGAACAACTGGAAGTATGTAGCTAGCCAAGGCCGTGCACTGGGTGTCCTTGTAAGGTAGTGATGCAAAATGTAAAACCTTTTTTTAGGCATTGTAGCCTAAAACCATTTTTTGGGGATGAAAACTCAAACCCTGATCCAGAGAAAGCATGGCTGTTGAGGAGGAGTGTATCCTCATGGCTAGGACACTCACCAGAAGGGAAACCTTGACCCTAGAAAAATCTCCATTTATAGCAGTTTGGACCATGATTCGAACACCAGCCTATACTGGACTCTGCTTAGAAACACTCTCCCCTCCCTGCTGAAGCTGAACAACTGTGCACTGCACATGAAGACCAGGGGCCTTCTCTTGGTGAAAAAAGTATGGATTTTTCTTTTTCTTTTTTTCTAGAAAGGCACCTGTTTTCACCAGTTGAACAAGATGTTTGGGTGGTGATCATTTCTAAAGAGGCTGCTGTTTTCTATGAGAAGTTTGTCAACCAGGCCACAATCCAACATGCAACTGATTTACTGGGCAATTGAGGTAGATCCCCCAGGTCCAAATATTCCAAACTAGCTGCTGATTCTGGAGCATTTTTATTTTTGTATGTCCACTCTGTAACAGAACAGTCATGTCCTAAAAAGAAATTTTGTGTAGAAGCCAGTCCTCAGCATCCCACCTGAGGTCAAGAGGAAATGTGAAAATTCCACTTATTAAGGCTAGTCTCAAGTGGCCTCATGCTGTGCAACCACAGCTAGAGGCTACTGTACGAAATGTTGACTTCAGACTTTTATCTCAATCGCAATTTGTGTCTGAAAACATGCAGACACCTCTGTAAAACATTCAGGTATCTTCAAAACGTTCTTCATATCTTCTGTCATGTTAGTGTTATTAGCTAGATACACACAGACGGACCACTCGCAGCTGAACTAAGACACAAATCCTCTGAGGTTTTTTCACATCTGTGTGCATGGACAGCTTTGTTTTTACCTCTAACCTTTCTATTTTTGCCTAAGGGCTCCCTCAGGCTTCCCTGTGTAGGCGATGCTTGGCCTGAATCTAGACACACTTTGGGTTTAACTCCACAAACCAGCCATGCTAGGCACTCGCCAGCCATGCGGGTGAAGATTTCTCCTTTGGGTGGAAGGGCACTCTGGCTAGATCAGCATTCAGGAACATGTTTATAAACAGCCAGAAAAATCTCCCATCTGTTCTGATACCCAAACCTTAACATTTCCTGTTTGAAACGTACCCACACACTTGACAGTAGCTGCTCTTGGATCTCCAGTGCTGCTATTATAGGGTACCAGCCAGGCCTCCTAGTGCTTTTTAACCATGAAAGAATCTGAAGTAACAGAACTTACTTTCAAGTTTTACAAATTTTCCTGGATATTATAGAAACTATGATAGACTATGTATTTTCAGAAAGAGCAGCCCAAGAAGGAAAACACACACTTGGCAATGAACCATCTGTCAAGGGGAATCCAGATGAGTTAAGCAGATGCAGGAATTCAAGCTGTTTTTGATGTTCATAGATAAAAGGAGCTATCAAAACAGGATAAAAATATTTAATACTGAGTAGATGCTTGCTAGGAGTTCCTAGATGCAAAGAAATTTTAGCAAAATGAGGTACTCAAGTTACCAGTAACAATAAGATATGCTTCAGAGAGTAAATTTAAAATTACACTGAAGCATGTCAACTACAGGCTGCAGATTTTAATTCAATATTACTGCCAACTTACAACATTCAGAAAGCACAAGTCAGGCCTAAGAAAGCATGTTACTAGTTTGAAGTAGCAAGACGGGTTAAAATAATACTCTTAGTATTGTTTTATTTATCTGCTTTTTTAGACAAGTTATGCAGAATCAATATTTCATTTTTTTTTCTCTGCAATCATGAGCTTTATTTCATGAAATCTGAAATTCTCACATAGTCACTGAATTCAGGATAAAACAGAAAAAAGAAAGGAAGGGAAGGAAAGGAAAGGAAAGGAAAGGAAAGGAAAGGAAAGGAAAGGAAAGGAATTGTCTCAGACTTGCAATAAAATCAGGAGAGCTGGCAACACGGAGCATGCAATGTGACATTCTTCATCTGTACAGAACTTGCACCAAGTCATTAAGCAGACACCAACAGAAAGGTGGTTTAAAGCCCTTTACTCCTCTGAATGTCCCTTTACTTAGAGCCACTTCTTTGTGGGATTGTTGCTCATTAAATCAACCCAGCACCGAATAGGGCTGCTCAGGGGAGTCCTAGAGCTGCTCTTACTTATATCAATCAACAGTGACCAAAAGAGAGTGTAAAAAACCTTAAGAATAAAAAAATTTGCCAGGACAAAGATAATAAATATTATTTCAGCCATGCTTTCTTTCTCCTTACTATTTGTGAGAAAAGAGTTTCTAGTCTATACAAATCAGGGCACAGGTCATAGATTTACAACCTGACTTTATCCCTATAGCAAGTACTAAGATAAACGATATTCAGGCCTTAGTCTTCTTTTCCTGCTTGTTACTAAAAAGAAGTCCTATGGTTAAATTCAACATTCTGGATCCCAAGTGTTAAACAGGGCTTAAATACAGCAGGCTTCCTGTCGTTATCAGTGTCCAACCCCCACATCATCTGCTGCAGTTGCATTCATGTGCATCACTCTCTACCCTCATTTGATATTGGATTACATTCATCTTGTTTTATATATATATAGCACCAGTTCTTTCTTTCTTTTATTAGCTCCTTGATTTGAGTAGAAAATTACAAGTATCTACACATCCACACAATAACTAGAGCTTGAAAATGATCCAAGATGATGATACCCTAACCTAAGACAAGAACTGATGGCAAGAACAGATGGTTCAAGCAAAACTTACCCAAAGGGAGGTTCTTGTGCCATGTGTTATGGCTGATTATTAGATCTCCTAAAGGGTGGTGTAGCAGCGAGATAAAACAGGCACTCAGTAGACAGAGTACGTGACATGCAGTCAAATGGATTGATTTGTCTAGTGAATCTAATAAATGGATCTTGTTAATGCTGAGCAGGGAAAAATATTCCTCAGCCCCTATTCATTAGCTCATCCTCATTAAAAGAACACCTTCTTGCCAGAAAATCAGAAAGGCCTCCAGTCCTCTCTGCAGAAGACTCCACAATGCATAAATATTGGTTTCTCTCGGCTGGTCTGTTTTCAAACAGCAGCACTGCTAGCAGTTGCATTTCTGATCCCTAATTTATGTTCTTTGCTGTTGCTTATTCTTTGCTCTTCCCTGATTATCATCAATATCCTTGTCTCTTCTACGATGCAAAACTGTTCTTTGCTCTCCAGTCCCTCTTCTAGCACCCAGTGTTTTTCATCTACATTAATTATATCCTGAGTTTCTGTATCTGATGGCGCAGCACACCCTACCATGCTTTAGTCATTGTTCATGCTCCTCTGTGCACCCATTCCACTACTTCCCCTTATATAATGGAATAACTGCAGGGAATCTGGGAGCCTTGTGGGACTGAGCCCTTCCAAATTCATGTTCTAGGCTTGAGAAGTAGGAAAAAAAATATTTTTCACTATCCCTGAATACCATGCTCATAATTCACATCAAGTACTTGATGCTGGTACTCTTTTTTTTTCTTCTCCCTTTTTGCTCACTTGTGAGACAAATGTGTTCATCATGTACACATCTCATCTTCTCTTACTCTACACCTTCTAGTCACTGACCATGAGATCATTTACTTCATCCTGTTCCATAAACCACTAGCTGCTCAAACCATCTCACCCAGACGTGCTCCAGCCCTTTTTTCTTCTTGCTGTCTGTCTGTTCTCTCTCAATACTCCAGCAGGGCACCTGCATCCAATTTTGAAAAACTTTCCATTCCTCCATCTGTATTTCCTACTGGCCCATTTGCCTTCCCTCATTCAATAGTCAGCAGGTAACTTCTGCACTCATTTTCTCTTCTTTTCTGGTTTTAATCTGATCACTCAGATTTCTACTTTCTCTGCTGAAAATGCCTTCTATGAAGCATCATTCAGCCTATCTCAACTGAGTCCTGAGTTCATTCCTCCTTGGCACATTTTCTTCCCTTGGCTTTTGCTACCTGGTTAGCTTGTGACTCACCTGCTAGCTCTTGGCTTTATCTTTATATCATCTCTGAATGCTCCTTTTGTCCCTGCTCTGAAGGAGCTGTGTCATTGGATGCCCTTATCTATCTTACTCCTGCACAGTATCATATGCTGTGATTGTTTATATTAGCAGTTAAAGATCACTGTCAATTCACACCTGTGTTCTTCTGCTATCCATTATTATCCAACTCTTCCCAATGCAGAGAGAGGAGCTATGCTCCTTCTGCATTGCTTGAGGGTAAAACCAAAATATTTATCCCTATTCGACCTTCTTCTCTTTTTCATTTCCTACTGTTATTAAAATACTGTCTCCCAGTATGCAAGGGTCGGGTACTTTTTATCTATATGTAACATCCATTTGAATAACTGCAATTCTATTTTATTTGAGGTTATTTAACTGTCTGCTTCTGGTTAGATGACTGATGTAAGTATGGTTATGAGTGGCCTTTGCCAGATGAGAATGACTGAAGTTATGAAAAAATATTAGTATTAATCATAGCAAAGGCATCTGAAAGCATAAGAGATTTGAAAATGAAATAAGCTGCTAATTCCCCTGGAGAGTAATTTTAGATAAAAGATTTCTGAAGCTACATTAGGTATTACTTAGTGTCACACAAAGTTGCTGAAATCCATGAAAAACAGCAGGCCTCTGATTCATAAGATACAGGCTCCTCATTACCCAGAGATGATTATATATGGAAGATATGCATATGGACAGATAAACATATAGAAAAATAGTAAACTGAGACACACACACAAAGTATGTGGTTAAGAACATGTTAGCATAATTTATTACACAAAAGCAGTTCACTGTGTGACTGCGTCACAATCTGTAAGATTACATACCTGTTATATGTATGTGATATTCCTCTTTGAAGATCTTTTGGAAAAAAGGTACTTTGAACTGCATGTGTGCAGATGGCAAGCCTGGAAGATTCACTTCAACATCACCCATAAAATGTGGAAACTCCCAGTCCTGTTAAAAAAGAAAAGTAAGCCTAAATATGAGCTTTCACAGTATATTTTTACATTTAAAATGGCTTAAATTAATAAAAGGGAAAGGTTCTATTTTTAAGTCTCTCATTATTGGATTTTCTTACTTTAAGTTTGACTGAACCACTTTAAACAGAATACCTTGTTTATATTAGATATTACAATATGATTTTTACTTCAGCTCCATGTAATTATGTATTTAAAAGTTCACTGCAGAATGACAATATCGAACCCACTGCACCAGCTGATAGTACAAAATAGTCTAAGCATACGAATACCTATATAGCAACCTTGCAATACTAGTTACAACTTCTGTTACTAATTTGGCAAACAGTTTACAGGTAACAAAATGGCAAAGAAGGCCTGAACCTTGCAAATATTTCATATATCTGTATTCTACGTGTTCAATTTAGAGGGTGTTTTCTTTATTTGGCCTTGATACATCCAAATAAACACTCTCTGCCAGTGCAGGCCCTTCAGCATAATCTGCCTGAATCAATCCAAGCACAGTTTTCTCCACTACTGTATTTCAGCTGACCAGGTAATGCTGGAAATGTGGAAGCTCTTACCTATCATTATGCACATTTTGGTAGCATGTGGTAACCCAGCTGAGGAGTAGCTGCATTTAAAGGAATTTTTCGCTTGGTTATCCGCACCCACCATCAGTCACCTCAAAATGGGTATAAGAGCACGGCTCATTAGAGCCCGAACTGAAAGTCTAGCAGTAGTGCTAGAATCAGTACGATTACTGCTGGAGCGGTTACTTTCTGTGCTGCAAACTGTTGGTGATCTGCTGTTAAAAATATACTAGCCCTGTTCTCATGCATACTCCTGGATTTGTATCCCACCAGTTAGTGCAACAAGCACTTGAATTACTAAAAATAAGATAAAGGAATCTGAAATATGAGGAGCTCTGTGAGTGACTTGTGTTTCCTTCATATAAAAACCATTCCAGTGCAGCCATCTCCCCAGGAGAACCAATAACCAATTCCTCCTCCCCGCCCCGCCCCCCGCCCTGTTTTATAAGGCTGGCAAGTTTCCTACCAAGGTAATGAGAAAAAAAAAATCAAATCTAAGAATCACCTCTGAAAGATAAATCACTATATATAACTTAACTTCCAAGAACTGCTAAGTGCTCCAACATTTTCTACAGTGGAAGGGAAATGGAAGAATTTTCTCAGGAGGGAATAGCATGGCCCAAACACTAACAGCAGCTGATTTGTGCCAACTCTTTGTGATACTGAGTTAAACGGATTAACAGGAGTACAAGCGAGGAGAAAACCTGACCCTCCGTATCTGGTTCTCAATATTGACAGTGATACAGAAAGTGCCAATTTACAGATGCAGAAGATAAGAGAAATAAGTATGCTCTCCTTTTGCCTTATCACTGATGCAAGGCATGCACTCTTAGTCATGAGGTATGGTAATAACTGTCCAGCAGCACAATTCCTTGCACTGCATCTGTAACCATCCCTTTGCAGGCAGCAGACATTCAAAAAGTGACCAAAGATGAAAATTTTATGGGTGTACGCTCTCAGTTCACAGTATCTAATGTACATCTCTGGACTTGAGTCACATGTTAAGTCATACATACTCTCACTCAGGAATAAACAGGAAGAAATACATTACATATTACTGGAGATAAACAAATGGAAAGCTGTGGACTCTGCATTAGAAATAAGTAAACATGGCACTATAAATCTGGCCTCCTGCTCTTGCCTTGTCCTGATGTTCCTACTATGCTTTTTGCTGATTTACAGATAAAATTCCACCATATAGAATTTTGTATTGAACTATGTCTTTGCTTCTCAGTTTTATAGAAAAATTCAGCATTTTTTCTGATCTGTGTGATTACCTGATAATGAGCAACTAGAATGCCAGCTCTGTCAGATGGCATTTTACTGTATTATTTGTGTCAGCAAATAACTACTGAGACTGGAAAATATTTCAGAAAACAAATCAAAACAGAGAGATCCAACCCCAACAGTATGCTACTGTTTACATTATAACAGAGAAATGAGTGGAGAGCCCATTAGAAAATTACATATGTGAAAACTCAAACTATGGCTACCTTTCACCTGTACATTATTTCACATTTTCTACATATATACCTCATGAAGCATGCCTGAATTGTATCATGACCTCTGTTACCTTATAGCCCTGTAATATGGTATGGCCATTGCTAGAGAGATGAGCACAGGCTAGCACTGGAGACCTCACAGCTATAAACAACTCACCAGTGCTCAGCTAAAGAAATGCAGATCTGGGGATGGACAAAACTGCTTGTCATAGTTTAACTAGGCTGACAGCCAAACACTACACAGCCACTCACTTAGTCCCCCCCTCCTAGGGAACTGGGGAGAGAATTGGAGGGGTAAAGGTAAGGAGACTCATGGGTTGAGATAATAACGATTGGAATTGGAATAAAATAAAAATTAAAATAATAATGACAATAGTAATGATAATGATAATAATAGAATATACAAACGAGTTATGCACAGTGGAATTGCTCACCACCCCCTGATAGCGATCCCAGAGGAGCGAAAGTATCCCAAACCTGAAACCACAATCCCGGAAGAGAGAGAGAGAGCATTCCAGTCAACCTTCATTTATATACTGAACATGACGCTATATGATACGGGATATCCTATTGGCATATCCAAATGCCACTTTGAACCCAGCTCCTCCCTTTCCTCCCAGCTTCTTCTGCACTTGCAGACTAGCAAAACATGGGCAGTTGGCAAGTCCTTGGTTTCCCAGCATCAACTAAAAACATCAGTATATTATCAACATTCTTCTCATACCAAATCCCATACTGAATCCAAAACAGTGCTATTCTAGCTACTGAGAGAAAAAAAAATAAGATCTGTCCCAGCTGAAACCAGGACACTGCTTTTAGGGGCAACAAGGAGAACAAAGAAGTATCTAACATACGTGAAAGGCACTGTGTATAGTAAACCTGGCTGTCACGTGGAGCTTTAGATCAGTAGAGCTACAAACAGCAAGGTCCAAAAGTGTGCTAGCAAACATAAAAATGCCCCCAAGCAGATACTACAGTGAAGAAAAAGAAACTATCATGATGAATATCATATCCTTCCCAGAAAAGGACTCCAGATGCCAATGACATGCCATAATGCCCCCACCAGACTGAAACTGCCCATTTCAGGACCCACAGGAGAAGAGGGAAGGTGCATGAAACACCAGAAAAAGCTGAAGAAGCTAAGAAGTGTGTGTATCACAATTTTCACACTATTATTATTACCAAAACATTTTTCTGCCCAGAAGTATTATTTCCAGTAATAGTTAGATCTCAACTAATAATGATTCTTGGATTACACTGTTAAAATTTAAATGATGCTAATAATGAATTCTTGTCTTTATCTATAAGGTGTTTCTTCTTTGCCCATAGATAACATTCTAAATGTAATACCTTTATCAGTATGATTATAAAATCTGTTACATAAGAAAAGTCCCACTGGAAATACAGAAATTAAATTTTAAAAATCAACAACAAAATAAAACAAAACACAATGAAATGTATTTGAAAGCAATATTAAAAAAAGGAAACTAAAATAATGAGTTAAACCTACTGACTTCCACGAAAGTCACTACAGCCACAGCACTTAGGAAAACGAAGCTTCAATTTAGGTGATTAAATAGCCTTTGGGGCTTCATTTGGCTCACAACTTTGGTAAATGTGAGCTGTCTGTGTAGTGATGTTATCACCTGTGGACACATAACTGTAGTATCATTACTGAGCAGGAGAAAAGCAGATGACTATTAACTTTTCAGGCTAATGCCAATACCAGGTTGTCAAATCCAAACCCATCAAAGTGGCCATTTTGCTGTCTAGATTCTAAGAAAGGGCTGTCCAAAATCTTCCAACTCTGTTATATTTTTTTTCCTTACTGATAAGCAAAAGAAAAAATTTCAGCAATATCCAGAAAAACATTTTTCCAAGAAATTCAAGCTATCTAGTAGGAATAATTTACCTCATTTCTTAATAGGTACACTAATAGCAAAATGTATCAGACCATAGATTTAACCACTTCCCACTCTGGAACACAGCTCAGGTCTGCATCATGCTTTCATACACAGGATTTTCTCTCTGTGGTCTCTGATATCAGTCTGTGCTATTAGTTTGTGCTCACCTCTGGGACATGAGTGACATACATTATGTTCTTTAAGTTCTCAGCTCATAATTACACAAAGTTCACTTTATCAGCTTTAGTCCTTATTGCTGAAGTGCCTGTACTCAGCCATATCTGACATCTCATTAGGAACTGGGCCCAAAGTACCATATTTAGAATGTATCTCTACTTGCAGAGTTTGAAAAATAAAGCCATGCAACCATACTGTTAGCTCATATTTGTATCATCTCTCATACTGCGTGAACAGATTGTTCCTTCTTTAAATCCATCAGCATCAAATTTCTGATATTCATCCACTTCAGCAGTTTCCAACCTGAGGGCTCTGCAGCATACCTCTACACAGTTTATGAAGAAGAAAGCAACACAGAACCAGCAGGCTTAAATCAGCTGCACAGAGGTCTCTAACCTCACTGGCAAGTTCTGTGGGATGTGCAAATCAGATGAGGTTATTGCCTCATTTCACTCTAGTCATGAGGAAAGGGCAGCCAGAGGATGAATTTAAGATCACTGAGGGGTTCATCCTAGTGTTGCAATGGGTAAAGGGAGCATCTCTGATTTCCATCAGCTACCTCATTAAACCTAGAAGTATGGCCAAAACTGGATGCTGCAAAAGAGAAGATCACGGTATTTTGATTTTCTTGCCTTTGTTTCTTGTTCCCCATGCCAAACAAATGCACACACTTTCTGCTGCCATGCCAAGCTTTGGTTTCCTAAAGTGGAGCTGGCAGCACTGATTCAGTATCTCTTTAAGTAAAGATATTTTCAGTAAGGATAACTGAGCATCAAAACAACACTTTCCGATCTGACCTGGCCCTTCTCTGCCATCACCTGA